CTTTTTTTGCTTTTCTTCTACTAACCTTCTCGATTTTTCTTTTTTAATAAAAAAATTATTCAAAAATTATTTAATTTTTTTTACACATTTGAGTGATGTGCAGCCAACGGTCCTGTTTCATTTAGCTATCACATGTCATTTTCAAGGTTTTTTTTTTTTTTTGTTTCTTTGTTTTTTCTTTCAAATTCTTTATTAAATATTTCTAAATATTATAAAAAATATGTTTTTTAAAGATTTTATTTTTTATGTTTAGGACCCACTTATATCAAACCTTTTTTTATTTTTTCTTTTGTCCTTTTTCTTATTTTTTAATTTAAAAAATTATTTAATAAAGAGCTTTTTAGATTTTATTTTTTGTAAGGCCCACATAATATCAATTGTATGTCATGTGTTTATTTTCTTTTTTTTTTTAATTTTTTAAAATTATAAGTAATATATTTTTTAAATAATTGTATTTTTTATGTGTAGATTTCACTTACACCAAACTTCTTTTTATATATTTTTTATTTTTTTTAAAAAAATATTAAATAAATATTTTTTGAAGATTCTTTATGGCCCTCTTGAGTAATGTATAGTCAACAATATTATTCCTTTGGGTAATTCCATGTCATTTTCAGGTTTTTTTTTTAATTTACTTTTTATCTTCTTTTGAGGTTTTAAACATTTACTTTTAAATTATTTAATGAATATTTTAAAAAATTTTAAAAAATACTTTTTAAAAATTTTATTTTTTATGTTTGAGACCCAATTATACCAAAGGTTTTTTTTTTTCTTTTTTTACCTTTTACATTTTTAAGTTTAAAAAGTATTTAACAAAGTCTTTTTATGATTTTAATTTTTATGTCAACCCATTTCAAACAAATAATTTTATTTTTTTATAAAAATATATTTTTTGTATATAGATTTTAATTATATATTTTTATATACTAATAATTTTACCTGTTACTTTTTTAATAATTTAATAAATAATTTTTTTATATTTTTAAAGTCCCACTCGATATCAATAGTATGTTAGTTTGCCACATGTTAAGTTAGTTTATTCCTTTTTTTGCTTTTGCTTTTGGTTTTGCTTTTTTCTTTTTTCTTTTCTTTTTTGCTTTTTATTTTTTAAAATTATTTCTAATTTAAAAAAATATATTTAAAATTTTCTTTAATATGAGGTCATTTGATATGATTATTTATATATGTATTTTTTTATTTTTTCCTTTTTTTAGTTTGATAGTTTTTAAAGAAAAAAAAATAGCAAATGTGTTAATATCACACCTGGATTTGATTTTATTTTCTTTTTTAATATTTTTTAAATAGATCAATTTTACAACAAAATGAGTCAATTAATAGGGGTGACAAAACAATTAGTGCCAAATAAATTTTTATTTGTCTTAATTCGATATGAATATTTTTGTAAAAAATAAATATAAGATAATAGGCCAACTTAAATATTTCCATGTCACCTTCACTTTTTTTTTTGGTACATTTTGTCATTTTTTTTTTAAAAAAAATTAAGTACATTTTTCAACAATAAAACCAATAAATATGGATGGTAGAATAAAAAAATTTTGACCCACGATAACGCGTAAATACTCACCTAATCTTAATAAAAGTTTTTCAAGGACAAGTATAAACGTGTTTAAAGCTGCCATATAGTTAATTATTATACAGAGTTAATTACATTTTTTATCGAAACTTTGAAAAAATATAAATTGGTACCTAAAGAAATAAAATGAATAATTTTGCATCATAAACTTTCAAATAATATATAATTTTAATCTAAATTCTAATATTATTAACTTAACTCGTTTATATGATATTTAAGCATTATAATTTTGTTATATACATGTTATTTATTAAATAAAAGTGTTAAATATTTTGTAAAATCCTTCATGTGAATGTAACATGACAAAAAAAAATGATTGATCAATCATAGACAATTTTTACGATTTAGGTAAAAATTTATATAATTTAAATTTATATTGAAAAAAATGTTAATAATATGTATGGTGAATATATAACTTGATAATATTAATCAAACATTGCATATATAAATTGATATTGTTAGTGGGATTAGAGTTTAGGGTACGTAAAAAAATTAAATTTATATTGAAAAAATTATATTGAAAAAATTTATAAATTGGTATCTAAAAATAAAATAAATAATTTATACTCTAAACTTTCAAATAATATATAATTTGCATCCTAAACGTTTTTTTGTATCGAAAAAGAATAAGGGTTAGGGAAGGATATTTAATTTCTAGTTGTCTTTCCCACCCTAAATTCATTAAATCTTCGATCTTATTATAGGGAAAAAACTTAGACGAAGTTATATAAGTAAAACTTGTAAAATTTCATATTAAAAATAATTAAATTAAAATTAAAATCGATAAATTGAAAGCCATTGATGTCATATTTGGTTTTAATTGGTTTGAAATTTAATCACTTGTGTTAGTTGAAATTAGCCTAGCCAGGCCACCTATGACCAAAAAAATATTTGGGAAGAAGATAGAAAGCGAAGTTACAACTTATTAATAAGGTATGGATATGTGTCATTTTCAATACTTGCCTAACATTTAATTCTATACATGTCGTATCTATTTTGAGTCTAACACGTATAAAATATAAAATTATTATATTATAATTCGTGTACGTACATCAAATATAAACATTTTTTTTTTATTTTTGCTGAACCAATATACGTTTTTGGTTAAAATTTTAAATTATGTCTCTTTGTCATCTTTTTTTTTTTATCATTTTTTAATCTATTATCATATTGTATTTAAAATTACCAAGTATACTTGCCTATATTTTCATTTGAAATTCTATAAACTAACCAGTTTTCTTTATTCTTTAGCTTCTGCTTCTTATTATATGTCTGAAGTGTACCTTTTCATGAAATTAGAGTAGAAAACAATTTTTTTGATTGTTGGTGGCTCGGAATTCTTTAAGTTGTAGTACAAACAATAATAAATAGTTTTTATGAAACAAAAAGATCATGTGGTGAAAATTTTAATAATAGTTGTTCAAGAACAAGTATAAACTTGTTTAAAGCTGCTTTTAGTTAATCCATTAATCTCACAAAATGGACTAACTAATTTGTTTTTTGTTCCAAATTGAGAAAAACACAACAACGCTCCTATATAGTTAATTAGTATATAGAGTTAATTACGTGTTTGGTAACAAAATTTTGAAAAAAAATTATAAATTCATACCTAAATAAATAAAATATATAATTTGAATCCTGAATTTTAAAATAATATATCGTTTTAATTCAAATTTTAATACTATTAACTTAACTAATCTCTATGGTATCTAAGCAGTATAATTTTGTTGTAAGTATGTTGTTTATTAAATAAAAGTGTTAAATATTTTATAAAAACCTTCATGTAAATATCATGTGACAAAAAATGATTGATTAATTTTAAACAATTTTTACGATTTAGGTAAAAATATATAATTTTAATTTATATTAAAAAAGATATTGATAATATGTGTGGTGAATATATAATTTAATAATATTAATCAAACATCACATATATAAATTGATATGGTTAGCGAGATTAGAATTTGGATTAATATAATACATGCATAATTTAAATGTTTATAGTGCAAATTGTATATTTTATTTTTTAAATACCTATTTTTATATTTTTTTCAAAAAAATTCCAAAAGTGTAATTAACTATTATATAAGAAAAAAAATTGTAAACCCTTAATTTCAAGTGAAAATTCATTCATTAATTATCATTTCAAAAAGTATAATTAATTAATTAATTAATTAATTAATACTTAATAATTTTGAGGGAAAAGAAAAATATAATGCACCTCGTGGATAAGAAGATGGATTGTAATTATTTTTTAAAATCGATTTTAATGATCCAACTTAATTAAGCTCATATTCTTTTTGCAAATCTAGCCTACCGTAATACAACTACTAATTAAGTATAGTATTAAGAAAAGGCCCTTTAAAAAAAATTGATACAAATCGAAAGGGTACAAAGGCCAGGGAAGGATATTTAATTTTTAGTTGTATTTCCCACCCTACATTCATTAAATCCCCAATCTTATTGTAGAACTCCTAATCACTGTAGTTTTTCCTTAATTATTTACATAAAAAAAAACTTAAGATGTAAATTAAAATCAAACTTAATAGTTAGACAACTATTATTTATATTTACTAATGCTTGTTGATTTTAGAAATAAGAAAAATCTTGATTTTAAATCTTATGAATGAAAAAAATAAATTTAAAAAATTTATCTCTTTTATGAATTTTGATCTGATTTAATTTTAAATTAATCAAAATATAAAATAATTATTGGATACCAACAAATTTCAAACAAAAAATCTATTATCTGTCTTTAATCAATAGGATGGACGTACGTTAGCTAGCCAACTTACAGTCACAGACACCGCCACTGACGACATATTAAGTTACCAACTCTTTTTGTGGAACCCTAAAAACTCAAAAAGTTAAAAGAATCCTTAAGAAAAGCTATCAATTAAACTACAACAACAAGAACATATATATATATATATATGTATGTATTCATACAAAAACTTCTTAAATTACAATGTTCCCTAATTTCATTTTCATGTTTTAAATGAACCTGCCTAGACTTTGTTTCTAGGTGCTTGTTGCTGTTTTTTTTTTAATAAAAAGATCGAGTTTTAAAATAAAAAATAAAGTATATATATATTAAAATTTAAATTTCAAATCAATATCATATTTTATTTTATAATTTTCACCATTCGTCTAAAACTTAGTTTTGGGATTTGAAGATAAAATTAAAAACTACTTACAACGCTTTATGTCTAATTTATGTCCAATCATTTAGCATAATGCTAGAATCCGGATGTTATATTTTAAAATTTTTTTCATAAATTAATTAAATTAAATTTTATTTTATTTTGTTGTTGTACTCATATGTGATGTAAAAGCTATACATGGACAACAATTAAAACAAGAAAACCCCATAAACATCACTTCAAGTAGACGCCAACCAAAAAAAAAAAAACTGCATCAGAAATAACAACATTCCTCCTCCCTCAATTCTCTTTAGACAATTTTTTTGGGTGTATATACTATATATTCTCCTTATTAGGCCACTTCTTTTTGTAGAAAGCTTCGCGTAAAATTTCTCCTCTTTTTTATTAAATCTTCCAACTTCCTCTCTCTTACACACAAAACCATGGGAGAAGACATTACTACTAATATTCATCTTCATGATGATCAATTTGCAGAAGAGGCAGAAGAAGAAGCACTTTCTCTTTGCGACCTTCCCTTAGATTTAGATACCAATAACAGCCCTGGAAATGATCACTTGCAAAAAATATTGTATGCCCAATCTCGAAGATCATCATCCGAGGATGCCTCTGATGAATTGTTTGAGTTTCGCAGCGACCTTAGCTCCGATATGTGCCCAGCTGACGGTATAATCTTTTGTGGCAAACTCATTCCTTTGAAACAACAACCCCTTTCCTTTCGAACACGGGAAGATTACCCTTTGGGAGAAAAGAGTAAAAACCTTGTTTTACGCAAACGATCTGAGTCACTTTCCGAGTTACGCAGCAGCTTCAAAAACAGTACTACACTTCTCAGGAACAGTCGTTCCTTGGATTATCAAAAGCTTTACAGTTCTGACATGGAGATGAACCCTTCCACAAGAAGCGTCGAAAAACCTGAGATTTCACCTAAAAAAGAAGTTAAGCCAAGGTGGTATGTTTTCATGTTTGGAATGGTTAAGTTTCCACTGGAAATGGAGCTTAAAGATATCAAAAGTCGACAGTTCCGTCGGAGTCCGTCGGTTATGTTTCCCACGGTGGAAGATGGCGGCAAGAAATTTGTTGGTAACCGGAACTCCGATAAGGGTTTTTCGTGGAGCTTGTTAAAAGTGTTGAGTTGCAGGGGTCATACTAGCGTTGCTGTAACATCATCGTTCTTGGACGGCTCAAGCCTAATAACACCAAGATGAACCAATTCCCAGTAGTTTGTTTGTTTGGGTTTTTTTTTCTAATTATTATTACTACAAATTTTTAGTATGTTTGGTGGGCATAGGAATTAATGATAATCACGAGACCCCCGACAAGAACATTATGGATCATATCGAGGATATTGATTAAATTAATTTTGTAATACTTAGAACAGAAAATATCATCACTCTGGGATTTTTTTTTTTTATTTGGAAGATATAATTGATAATTTATATGTTACCATTAAAAAATATAATAACTTTGCTTTTTCAACCTCTTTCAATTTTTTTCTTTTTTGTAATTAGGTTAAAAAGATTTTATATTTTATTATTAAAATTAAAATTTTAACATTTTATTCATGCGGTCTTTAGTCTCAACCTCTTTCATTTTAATATATATTGTTAAAATTAATATGATTCGAGTAATTCTTACATTTGCATTTTGACAAGAAGACGACATTTACCCATAAGATAATGCATACCTCTAACGTTAGCTGTTGGAAAAGGAATGAAAGTGCCAAGAGAAATCAAGGATTTTCTTCGTGAGCATGGAATGGCTAATCATGAAAACTTGGGTTTGGGTTCATCTAAAAGGTTTGATGGTTGATTTTCATGCGAAATAAGTATAATTTTTAAGTTGATTAAAGAAGCAAAGTGGGTTTTAGTGGTAGTAGTGCTCCAATATACTTATGTTGTTTAACAATGATAATACCCGCAATTATAAACCTTCTTAATAATGGAAGGTGAAATGGGAGATTGAACTCCTTTCTATAGCATAGATTATATAGGTTAAAGGAAAAAAAAAAAGCTCTCCAACGAAAATTTAATAATATTTAAATTTTTATCGTTCTATTACAATCAATTAAAATTTTAAATATTTATTTTCATTAATTAAGTATTTATTAAACGAAAATTGATTAACCATCAACATTAATTTTCATATAACCAAAGATTCAATTATGATAAAAATAAATATTTAAAAATTTAAATGAATAAAAATAAATATTTAAAAATTCAGCTAATCTAAAATAAAAAATTTAAAGTTTGATAGGTTACTATAAAATATCCAAAACTTAAAATGATTATTAAATTTTTATTCCTCAATTAGGCAAATATTTGGGCTCCAACCAAAGCTTAAATGCCTCACAAACCACTACGCCATGGGGTGGAAACCCGATATGCTTAAATTTTTATCCTATTCAATTATACTTGTTATGATCGATGATTCCATAAACCCCAATTTCTCTCATTGCAATTTAGAAAGCCTAATACTGTTTAAACAACAGGACTGATCAATGCTCTAATATCATTCCTCATAATAATTAAATTATTAGCATCAACAACAAATTTAACACTATAGTATGAGTTAATGTTACATTTTGTCACACAAATAAAAGAATTGATGAAAGTTTACTACTTACATCAAACAAATATTCTGATAAAATATTCCAATTTAATTATTTTTTTTCAAAAATTAATAAAATTAAAAATATAACGATAAAATTCAATAATAGTTTCTGATACTGAACCGTATTATAATGACACCTTGGCAGTTGGCTAAATTTAAAATCCTATACTAATTATTATACGGCCTCGAAGCCTTTTACACACACTCTCTCTCTCTCTCTCTCTCTCTCTACATATATATATATATATATATATATATATATCAAACCAATAACTCTAATCAAGCAATTTACTACAAAAATAAAAAGAAGATAAAAAAGTTATCTAAGAAATTGCTGGCATCAACCAAGATCGAGAAGAGGAAGAAGAAAGGGTGATTGTTACTCCTTTGTTATGTGCAAAAGGTTGTGGCTTTTAAATGGTTCGATGGAGACCAAGGATTTATGCTCTCAAGTCTTACAAGTATAAGCTGTTCAAAAGAAGGGCTTTCCATGGCAGCAAAGATACACATACGGGCAGCCATTCACATTCAAAGATGCACAGAGTCTCTGCAACAAGCACAGCAGCATGCACAAACATGCACATACACATATATACATATTTGCATATATATTACATACAGGAAAGATAAATGAAGTTGCTGCCCTCGCTGTCTTCTGTATGCACATGTGCATGTATGTATTTATTTACTGTGAAGCTAAATGACTCAGAATGATGCCTCTTTGATCTTGATTTTCTAATCAATCTTTTACACCCAAAACCACTAGCCACCGGCACAGGTGGCACAAGTAGCCAGATAGAATAGATGATCACATGCAAAAGACTGAGAGTACTTCGCAGCGTAAGATATGCACTTGCAATCAAGGTAAGAAAGCATAAAGAAATGGTTCCAGCACTTGAGATATTAGCCTAACAACCATGGCTGTCGATCTGAACTCAGTATGCCAAGGTAATTGTCTATAAGAATGCAGCATGCCAGTAGAACTAAAAGTGTGCTATTTGGCAACCTGCTAAAAACACCTCAACCTTCTCTTGTCTCCCTATACTATTAACCGATGAACAAAGGAAATGAACTTCATATAAAACACCACACACATCTTTCTCAAGGTTAACAGGGGAACATTGTAATTTCAATCAATTAAATTCATTCCAGTAAGTAAAATAATCACCTTATAGTTGCCAATTGCCAGCTCTGAACTCCTCATGACAAACTTCACAAACTATAAGAGGTTGGCAGAAACAGGAGAGGAAGAACAAGGGAGGAGGTAACAACATCAGATTAATTCCCAAATGCTACTGGCTTGGCACTAAACATTGATTGCTTCGCTTCTAATGCTCACAGATAGCCACCACTTCATAGAATAGTTTGTCAGCCAATCACCAAGTTCAGATATCATAAGCAGGATTCAAACAACAGGGTTGAAAATAACAGAGAATATACACGTGTTAGGTTTACTAGTAATCATAAAAATAGCAAGTCTTTTGCTGCATATGGCTAGACAGAAATAAATAAAAGAAAAGACATTCTGAATAGAACTACCTTTGGATGTTCATCCAAGGATCCTCATTCATCTTCCTCTTGCTATTCATTCAAAGGTCAAACTTTAGGTTATTTAAAGGATTTGAGTTTGTTTCTTCAAGATTCAGAATCCAGACCAAAGAACTGTCAAAAATGCAGAAAGTGCAAGATCATGCAAAAGAATGCATTTTCTACAACTCAGAGTCTAAAGTACACGAGTCATAACAAATACTTCCGTACATAAATCAGGACTAACAGTTGCCCTTGCAAGAACAAACTACTCATCATAATTTCAAATGCCCAGAAAGCTTCACAATAGCATTTTCAGAGGAAATATATTTCATAGAATTCAAACCATCGAACAGCAATCAAACTTTTTAATAAGATAAAAAGTTCAGGCCTAAGAGAAAAATTAAGTGCTGCACTATTTTAGAGATACAAATTGAAAAAGTCCATCAAACTGGAGCTGAAAGTTAATATCTGTTACATTTGAGCAACGATCCAACCCCACTAACAAAAAAAAAAAAAAAAAGAACCCAATCCACTTGCTAAGACTAATCTTAACAAGTACCTCACAAATATTACTAGACAATCGGAGGAAGAAGAGAAACCTATTTTTGTCCCATTGTAGTTCCCCAGAAACTTCCTTCACCAGATAATAGAACAACAATTGGATACCAACAATCAGAATACCATCCATCTCTCTAAAATTTAATAAAAGCAGAGCTTACACAAGTCATGTCATGCAGCAGATCAAATAGATTTTAAGACAGGAAACTCAGACTATAAATTTCTGATCTAAAGGTGAATGAACACCACAAAACTGATAAGAATCATTAATTATTCACTTCTTTTACTTATTCCCTTTCAGCTTCCTCCCTAAGCAAACCTTTGGTTGTTAAACAGTTAGTAAGCTAACAAAAGAAAATAAAGCTATTGTGATATCATGTCTCATAAAACAAAATGGAAATACTAAAAGATGTAGAAGCTGAGAATTTAGGTCTCCATAGGAATAATAGTTTTTCAGCTCATCTCCCCTTGATCTAGCTGGTCTCAATTGCATTAGTCAGGTTTATAACATATGAATTATTTAAAAGTAAAAAAATGCTCAGGCACATATTCTCATTATCTCACTATAGAGTGAAGTTAACACTTGGCCTAAACTAGACTGCATCATTATTCTAGCTTCAACCAATCCAGACCTACTTACGCCTAGCAAAATTTAACCTCTAACATATAAAGAAATGGAACCATAAATAACGATAAAACATGAATTCCAGAAACAAAGTCACTGATTTATGAGTCCTATTTGTTGTAATAATAGAGAAATGAGTAATCATGCTTACATGGTTACGGTTCTACTCCAAGGAGGATCCAAAGTGCAAACAGTACAACAATTAAGGAAAAAAATTCACAAGCCAACATTGAAAATCAATGGTTAACAACGGGAAAACACAAACTTTCACAGAAGTCGATCTAGATTACAAGCTCAATATCCAAGAATTCAACAAAAGTAATGAAATCATATCTATCCTCAAAAATAATAAGGAAGATTAGAAGAAACACAACAATTTTGTACGGAAACAATTATCTTATCAGAGTTCAATTGCACATATAAACCCTGCTCTCATACCGATGATTCACCTCATAAAAATCTGTCTTACCCTCAGAAGCAGGCCGTAAACAGAACCCGGACAATGAAGTAGCTCCTTGCACTGAAAATTTCACATAACCAACAACTTCTAGTTCTTCATCATCCTCACCAGAATCAACGGGCATCCTTGCTCTCAACTTGCCAGGAGTACCCTTTAGTGGAATCTCTGGAACATGCCACTTCAATTCTCTCTCTGATCTGTTTAACACAGCTTTAGGTGAAACCTTTAACAATGTTGGATCAACTGGCAATTTCAGAACAATCGTTACATCACTTAATGGTACTAGTAACTCTGGATTTGAAACATACTGTATCATCACAGAAAGTAAAGTCCCACTAAGACGCTTAATCAACCTAACTCTTAAGGGCAATGGTGTCAACCTAGGTAACAAACTATACTTCAAAATTGGTATAGGCCCCTCAGATGGGGCAGTTCTCACATGAAACATTCCATTACCTAGGCTACTAACCTGAGAACTCTGTATAACAAACCTCTTAACCGAACTTGTACCTTCAACACGAAAGGAAAACTCAGTATCCTTATCACCAGAACTTTTAGGAGGCATCGTTCTCAAGTAAACCACACCCATTAATCCAACTCGCGCGAGCAACGATTCCGTAAACTCTGCACTGATCTCCTCTGAAATATACATTTCGGGACCTTTCATCTCAGTCTTCTTCACCAAAAGATTCTCAAGAGACTTCCCTCCATCAGCACCAGCAGCGGCTGCAGTTGGAGGAGCAACATCATCCCTAGTTTGCAAAAGTTCAAGCCCACTAAGTCCTTCCTGTTTCTTAACCTTTTTATTTTCCAAAAACTCGGAAGCATCCAATCCTCCACCCCAAGCATCACTAAACCCTTCAAAAGCTTCTCCAAGAGTAGCCTGTTCATTGCCAAACTCAATCCCTCCATACTTCCCCTCAAACCCTTCAACAGTAATATCAGTAGATTGGGTTGCTTCAGCTGGAGGCAATGTAGTCACTTCTAACCCCGCCAATGCCACCGTTAAATCAGTAGCTAACGGATCCTTTGTCTTCTTAAACCCTCCAACTAACTCTTCTTGCTTATTTATGGCTTCACTCGCTGCGAACGGATCCTTTTCTGCTTCTGGTTCCTCTGCTTTTATCACTTTCTCGTCTTGCTCAATTGTACTCTGAGGTGCAAGTGTTGAAGCTATCTTATCGCCCGCGGCTAGAGTTTCAGGTGGCAATTCGAAACTCGCATTCGAAAAGGCTTCAATATTGGCTTGGTGTTCGACGGAATGAGCTTCGACGATAGGCCACGTATCAGCACCACGGATCTTGGCTTCAGTGTCGAGTGCGGAATGAACCATCTTGGCAATCCCGTCGCCGTGCATAAAGGAGAGCATGGCGGCGAGACGAATGCTGCTGACACCACGTAGGACGATGTCGAGTGCCATGTAAACCTCGGCGTATTTTCGGGCGAGTTTTTCAGAGGTGACGTCGACGCCACGGCAGGCAGTTACGATGACAATGACAGCTTGGTTCACGATGTGGATGCACTCGAAGACGTTGATCGAATTCTCCTGATCCGCCGTAGTGATTCCAAGAACGTAAATGGAGTTGACAAGACGGTAAACGACGCGATACTTACTTTCAACGCCGACGATTAGTTGGCCGCTGGAGGCAGCAAGGGGGTCGTCGCCGACAGATTCAGTGGCGGCATTAGATTCGGACGATGCAGCGGCGGCGGAGGCAGGGATTTTGTTGGAGAAGGAAAGACGGGTTTGGCGGAAGGCGTGGAGGGCAATTAGGGCACGGGCTGGAGGGAACCATTCTCGGGTTTGAAGAAGGACGTCGGATCCGTTGGCTGGTTGGAGAGAGAGAGCCAAGCACGACATCGTTTTTAGTTTTGGTTAAAGTATTTTGTTGTTGCGAGATCTATCGCGTAGGGCTGATCCAGGGTTATGTAATTAGGGAGGAGTGGATCTACGGGGAGGAAATGATGACAACCGCGGGAGTTTACTTTGGAGTGGATTTCTTTGAATTTTGTTTGCCGAAAAGAGCTGAGAGATATAGAGCAGATGGCCCGGGACTTCCAGGTAGGATTGAAGTGGTTCATGTCTTTGTTGGTGTAACGGGCACAACCCAATGAAATTTGGTCTCCTCTGACATTGGCCTTCAATGCTTGCAATTTACTTTTGCAAAACGTTCATTTTTTTCCTTTTTTTTTTTTGGTCAATATTTTTTCTAAAAATTTTTAAACCACACGCACAATACACAATAATATATAAAAAATAAATAAATATAATACCATTAAATTTTAAATAAAAATTTATATAAATTTGATAAAAATTAAAAATATATATTTTATTTTAATAATAATATAAATTATAATATAATAATTTTATATTTTATACATATTTAATATAAAATAAAACATAAATATACAAATTATAAAATGTAATTTTTCCTTTAACGAAAAACATAAAAGAAATACAAAATTTATTTGAAAAAAGCCCTTCGGCGCCATTTTCCGCAATGAAAAATGTAAAGCTATTCCAAATCGAAGTAACAAAAAAGGTCAGCAAACATATAAAAAAAAAAAAAAACTTGAGCAAACAATGATACCGCAAAACCTCCTTCAATTAACCACCCAAAAATGCACGACAGGCTGCCCAATCCTTGATCGCTTGCTCCGCGGTGGCATCCCTTGCGACTCGATAACCGAGATCGTCGCCGAGAGCGGTTCTGGCAAGACCCAAATCTGCCTCCAACTATCACTCCATGCCCAACTCCCTGTTTCCCATGGTGGTCTCGCCGCTTCCTCTCTCTATCTCCACACCGAATTCCCATTCCCCTTTCGCCGCCTTCACCAACTCTCTCTTTCGTTTCGCTCCTCAAATGCCAACCGTTTGCCCACTAATGACAACCCCTGTGATCATATATTTGTGCAAAGTGTGCACTCTGCTGATCAACTGCTCGAAATTATGTCTAAAACAGAGTCCTTCATTGAAAACACGAAAACCGAATTGCCCGTTCGGCTTATTGTGATTGACTCAATCGCTGCTTTGTTTAGGTCTGAGTTTGACAACACCCCAGTTGAGCTTAAGAGAAGATCATCTTTGTTCTTTAAGATATCTTCCAAGTTAAAGGCATTAGCGAAGAGGTTTAGTTTAGCGGTTTTGGTGACGAATCAGGTAGTCGATTTGGTGGCACTATGAGGGAATAAATGGCTTGAGGATTGGGAATTTAGGATGTTTATACACGTCAGGTAGGAGGGTTTCTCCTGCATTGGGGTTAGCTTGGGCTAATTGTGTTAATTCAAGGCTATTCTTATCGAGGAACGAAGAGGTTATTCGTGAAGAGGATCGAAACTTAAATGGCGAAAGTAGTGATTTTTTGTGTAAGCAAACAAGGAGAAAGCTTTATGTTGTTTTTGCACCCCATTTGGCTGAATCATCGTGCGAGTTTGTGATAACCAGAGAAGGGCTTTTTGGAGTTGAAAGATAGTTGCCTGATTAATTTTTGTACAAGAAGAGATCATCCGAAGGTAGCTATGTGGAATATTTGAGTATTTATTTATTTATGTTTAGACTTTGGAAGAAAGGTTGAAGTCAGAGGTGGCTTTTAGCTCTGAGAGTTTTAATGTTGCATCATTTAGGGCTGTCTATTACATTTTGACATAATCGTTTTTTGCAATAGTGGCTTTGTACTTTTCATTTGTGAATAGGGATGTAAATTTGACTTGGTTATATGGTTTCTTTCAAATAAGATAGACATTTTAGTTATATTTCTTTATAATCTATAATTAGACATTTCAATACATTTTGATCTGGGTTGAGATATTCGCTCCTTTGTTTTTGTGATCTTTTACCTATTATATTATTTCGCTTATCTTCAAAGCTTTCAGTTGGCATGCTGTCTTGGTTGTATCTGCCTCTTTATTTCTTTTCTCATTTGCTTGTTTATATCATTTCTTTTCTTGATTTCCAAGTTGCCGCTTGTTGACTGTAGGCCTTCTCTATTGGTGTTCAAAGTGGGTTGCCACTCAATGGACTGTTTATTGCATCTTTAGTTCTATCTTCTTTCACTGTGTGGTTGTCTCTGGGGTATGTAATAATCTTGATTTTTTAACAGCCATCCATATTCTCAAAGAATTGTTGCAAAGATGATTAAATCCAGTTTGTCTGATGTGTTTCCCAAACCGGTTGTATTCATGACAATATATGCTTGAGTTGGGTGTTGCATGTTGATATGAAGAGTAGTTAGATCTATTTTGCAATGAAGTAGGAAGCGACGAGGACGAATTTTGGCAAGTATGAATGTGCTTTGCTGCTCAGGGATACAATCACATCCTGGGGCCTGTCTTGCCTGTGTAATCCTACTGGTTTTGTTTGTCATGTAGATTAAGCTCTGGTTTCTCTTTTACTTTCCAAGTATCATTCCACATTTCCTGTAGTTAGTATTTTTATCTGTTACAATGTGTGTTGCCCGACAAAGTTCTCATACAATCCAAAAGAGGAAAAAAGTATACTTTTTCATTGTTGTTGCAGAGATCGGTGGAAGCAGCAGCATTCATTTCTGAGGGAGTTGTCTGACTGGATTTTGCAGACATGAATTTTGTACCATCGACCTCAAACTGTAGGGTCAATTGTTTCAAAAGTTCAATTTCTCCCCATGGTTTTTGCCTGGTTTTGTTTCTGCGTTAACGTTCTGCATTCTGATGCCTGTTGGTTGACTGAATTGTAAATACCGGGTTTTGATTTTAGGTCTCAACAGAAGAGGCAAACATGGACATCAGTAGATCAAGTTATTTATACTATAAACTTAAAATCTCATGCTGATGAGGCGTTTACTGAAAAATAATTGATTTTCTGCGATGGGTTTGTCAGGCAATCAATTTTAGCTGAGATATCGTTGCTTTCTTTCCTGAAGTTTAAATGCACAAAAGCAGTCGAAGCACAGAAGTTGCCATAATAAATGTGAATCAAACAGAATTTCCCGTAGGAATTGTATGCTGCTGTCCGACTGCCATGTTGAGGACTTTCAGCTTACAAAGGTCGAGATCGAATTGCCTGTTATTTTGAGTTTAGAAAGGAAGGAATTGGAGTAATACTAACCAAATATTATATCCCCCAGTAGAGCAGACAAATGCATTAACAAAGAAACAAGAAAAATGAAAAGGAGTTGGGGGTGGCCAAGAGGCGAGGACCTGATAGCTGTTAGCACGTGAGCTAACGCACCCAGCCCGGCCTGCTACTCCTCTTGAGGGACAGTGAGGGAAGGAAAGCCACTGGGAGTAGTAACTCGTAGAGCATTGGTGCTTCTTTTTTTGACCACACGGGGGAAGCACCAGAGAAAGACCCCCCCTGTTGTTATACCCCGAACCGAGGCGTGGTTTAGGGTTTGAAGTTACCGAGATTACTCCCTGCCCCACACCCCCACGGTTAGCGTTCGTCGTTCCATCCTCAACTTAAAAGAAGCGAAAATTAGCATCTCCTCCTCGATGTGGGTTAGACAAGTCTGGGTTATTTATCCCACCTTTTCATGAGATTGCTGGGTTAAGGATCACAACATAAAGCAGTAGGCAAAGAAAAGCTCGAAAAATAAGAAAATTGTGGATTTGATCTGATCTTCAATTGGGATGCAACGCGTTCAAGGTTCCCAAGTCGGTCTTTGGTTAGTATCAGTTTTTGAACATTATACATGCTTCTTTGGTGGAGTTATCATTGGCTAGCGTTTTTACTCCTTTAAACCTCAAAATATAACATTGTGCCAAGAAATTGATTGCCAAGCCTCTTGGTGAGTTCAAACTTCAAAGTAAAGGTAAAGGTTTGACAACTTGGCTGGCTCACCAAACTAATAGACGATGAAAAATTCAATAAAAAGTTGGTGAATTGATACTCATAAAATGACATATATTTCACTAAATTTGAAGCAATGACAACCAAGACAAGCCTTCCAATATTAATTCCAAGTAAATGTAAGGCCAAACCATCCTTTATAAAGGGTTGGGTAAGTCCCCAATGCTACAATTGACAACCCTTCTTAATGTATTATTTTTCTAGTATATGCATCAAAGTTCACTTGGGAATACTGTCCATGCAAGCAAATACTCTTGCAAGCTTACATGTTTTTAAGATTCTATCAATGCATTTACAGCATGTGTGGGAAGGAAAACTAGTACGACATCCAACTTTTGTCCAAGCTAGCGCCATGACATCTTGAGAGGAAGTTTCACCCGGCTCCCGGATCTCGAAAACAACTGGGAAGAAATTTAGAATCACTTTCTTCACCCCTGAAGGGATTCCCAAGCCAGAGGAAATAGATCCAACACCTGGAGGGACAAAAAAGTTAAAAACTAGCCAGGGCTTTAATTCTAGGACATGTCATAGGAAACTAGAAACCACACCCCTCCAAGTCTCCAACCCCTACTTCTCCCGCTGCCTCGTCATACAAAATAAAGCTCCCCAACCTCAAACAGAATGCCTAAAGGGGAAGTTAGAAATTTTGTGTGTGTTTGATTGATGCATTTCTTCCAGCAACAACTGGTATCCTGCAGTGCTAGTTATTCATCGATCAAAGCTGTTTTAAATTGTGGCACATCAGTGCCAAATGGAAAAAAACTGGCTTAAGTTCGGTATCTTTGACTGCACAGCACATAATGAAATATGAGTTGTTGCTACACTGAGTATAATAAAAAATAAATTGCCGTATTCTGAGGAAAAAGGTTTACCTTTTGTCTTGATCAACAGCACATAGCAGCCACTTGCTTTCAACTTGAATAAAGTACAAAAGGAACTGCAATGCATTTTTTGAAAATCATGAATAAGTGCTATCTCATTAGAATTATTCACAAATTTACAATGCCCTATGAAATTTACAGTGAGTATTCGTGAAACTATAAACGCACATCAAGTATTCCTAATCCTAAACTTGGTCCAAAACCAAAAGGTATCAGTGATTATTGGAAGTAAAACAGGATCTGGATTAAAATGCCAGATTACAAATTGAAACCAAACATGAGATATAGGATCAATCATACTAAGTAATTTCCGATCCCTGCAGCTTGATCATACTGATGCTAAAATTACATTCACAAAATTCACCTTGGCTTTATGCAAAACATATATAAACAATTATAGGTTGTTTGTTGTTTAAAATGCAACTTTGTCTGCAAAAGATACAAAACTAGTGTTAAAAGCATGAAAAAACAATTATTGGCATCTTAAGAAAGTGCTCAGAGGTATTAGCTCATGATTGACATGCATCCAATTGATCAACAGAGTTTCTTATTTGTAGCAGAGCCAAAATGAAAGGAAAGAAGCTTAGAATGCCCAATAAAATAAAATAAAAAGCATGGCTGTCATACATTCTCTTCATCAAATTTTAATGGATGTTTTGCATTGTTTTAAACCAAAGACAGCATCTATCAGGAAAACCCCAGACTAATTAGTGATAAACAGTCAGTTTATAAACACGTAAAATCATAGTCTTTCAAGTATGCAAAGTCCTTGACTACTTGTAATTAAAAGCCCCAAATTCAAATAGAGAAAGAACTCACCAATTAGAAAAACAGCTATCATTAAAGCAAGTGTAAGTTGCATTGAGCAACTAAACTGCAACTGCACTGGACTCTGCAGATGTTTGTGTAACCCACCAACCCAGCCAAAACACTACAATACATCAAGTTTATTAGATTCCCTGAGAACTTAGCAAACTGTGCTCAAGATATTGATTACACAAGAAATATAGCAAAGCATAAAATCAGTATAAAGAAGAAATAAAGTATGTAAACGATGCCCCTCCCCTGATTTTTACCTGATTGAATAAATTAAATGCACCCTTGGCCTGACGAAGTTCTCCACACCTTTGCTTACGGAAGAAAGGCTTTGATCCTTTTTCTCTAGGAGTGGACTCAATATCTGACCTGATTTGGCTTCTATCTTCATATTCATCAGGAATTACAATTTTCAACGCACCAAAATTTGGTGAACTCCATGTTCTCCTTGTACCAGTTGTTCTTCCAGAACTGTCCTCATCTTCTACATCAATGACACACTCAACATCTTTACCAGAATCTTTAAAAATTTTCACTTCAGACATTTTTCCATTACAAGTAGCATTGAAATTAGGGTCTGTGTCCTTTCCCCTATGACAATTCTCCAAAAGAGTGTTCGCCACAGATGGTTGCAAGCTTGGAGAGGTTCCAGAAAGGAACATTGCTAAATCATCACATTCCTCTTCATCCAAATTTACCCACCGAAGTGGCTGCTTTCCCTCCTCGATGAATGCTTGTTTTAACGCAGCTTCTACACGGTAAATCTGACTCTCAATGGCAGTAATAAATTGTCTATGCCTATTTGCTGTAATATCATCACTACGATGTCCACGGCTCAACCTTATAGCTCTGTCAAACTCTTCCAACTGAATTTAGACCCACAGTTTAACACACAACAACTATTAGCATGAGCAATTGACTGGCTAAACAAACAGAAAAGAAAATTTAAATCCAATTAACTTGCACTACGATTAACAAGAACATGCATGCAAAGGGTGGGGAAAAATATGATAATGCTTAATGTCAGTTTCCATATTTGTGGAGACCTAGGAAAGCAAAAAATCTACTCTGAGTCTGTATAAGCACTGGGTTCGAAATTGAACAGTCTGGGGTAAGTTTTGTCTATTACAAGAAACTAAACACAACTGAAAAAGAATTAGTTCTCGTCGAGCTTCTTATAAATGGATAAAAAGCAATGATATCTAGCAAATGCCAATGTCCTAAAATGTGATAAGTTTAAGTTAAAAACCGAAGAAGAAAATAAAAAGGATTCAAAATTTTAGTTTAACAAAAAATAAAAGAAAGAAAAGCCATACCTGCCATTTAGCAGTACCTAAAGCCGTTTGCAGTTCTCTACAGAGTTCAGCAGAATCTGCAGTTTTTAGCCCTTCTCTCCTCTCTTTGATCCACATCCTGTATGCTGATTCCATTCTGGAAAACAGAAACCATGAGCATACTTTAAAATCTTCAGGAAATGTAGAGAACCCCTACATTTTACTTGTACAAAATCTTCATGGAATATTTATTTTCGAGAATTTTTGAAGCTGAAACTTCTTATATACACAAAACCTTTATTATATGGTTGATTAATAATATTAAGCATTACAAAAGCTCAGAAAATTGGCTTTTTTCCTTTTTTTAGAAGATAACTTTCATAGGCCAGCATCTTCATTAAAGTTTTCGGATCACATGCATATAATCATAGTTTTTCTGTTTCAACAAGCAAACAAACAGCGTCTTCTTTTCTATTTCATCAGGCATAAAAAAAGGTTAAGAAAGTTACCAATATAAAAAAACAACAAATTCAAGATAAACTGGTCGAAAACAATGTCCCCAAAAGTAAGAGAAAGAACATAAATCCAGCATGAACATCAAAACATGCCAACTAGGCCACATCCAAAAACTGTAAAATTTAGGAGCTACAGCACATTTACTAGAAATCCAACCAAAAACAACAAAAAAAAACCCCAAAAACCAAAGAATTAAACACTCAATTATATGAAGATTCTAGTCTTAAAGCAAACATTTTAAAATGCACAACCACTTCAAACAATCCAAAAAAGAAAACCCATATGACCAATCAAACCCCTCATTAAATGAACACAAACATTTTTTTAAAAGATAAAGAAGCCAAAACCCAAACAAAAACAAGCCATGAAAGGAAAAAAAATATAAAACATACATATCAGCAGATTCTTGGACCTCTTCTGCTGCAGAAAAGAAGGCATCTTTTTGCCATAAATCGAAACTGTTCGCAACCATCATCCTCTTCACCCTTCAACACTTAGAACCCAAAATAAAATTATAAACTATAAGTAGTACTATGAAGAGATTTGCAAAATGGGTGGATTTTCTTTTCCTTGTTCTCTTCTCTCTTCGTTGCTAAGGAGCAGCAAAGAAGGATGAAAAAGAAAGGAAACAGAGAAGCAAAAGAGAGAAGAGAGAGAAGAGACGTAGAATGGATTTCTCTCTTCTCTTCCCTTCGTCTTTCCTTTCCTCTCCTCTCTCTTTTCACCTTTTTGCAGTTTTCACCTTCCTTACTGGTTTTTCCATTTTTTATTTTCTCTGATTCGGTGTTTGGTTCCAAGAACAGGAGGTTCTATCTGCTGTTTCTCATTACGACTTACAAACCAATCAAAGTTCTCCACGCCAGTATCACCAAAACTTGTGAATGACGTGTTTTAATCTTAACGATTGACTTAATGTAATTATAAGTTTTAGAAGCGGGTGATAGGAACTCATTAAAGGGGCAAAAAAAATGGTGGCGTCGGCTGTTGGGTACGAGAGAAAAAGATAAGGAACAAAGCTGGTGAGGTGGGCTGTCAATTTGGAACAAAAGCCAATCCAGTGAATTTTGTGTCATAGATCAGATTTAAGCGGGTCCTTTCAAGCACTTCATTTATTTATTATTTTATTCTAAAATATATTAATTAGGGTCCACATTAGAGTGTCATTAAAAATGTTTTTATTTAATATAAAAATGTACCGCTATATATATATATATATTGTCTTTGATACTTAAAAAATAAAATTATATATTTTAATTTTTATATTATCATTTATTTTAATATTTCTAACTAACTTGTATTTATTGATATAATTTGAACATCTAATAAAATATTAACATATGTTAAAAATTTTTGTTAACGTTACATTATCAATTGTCGTATTAATTTTTAAAAATTTTTTTAAAAACTTCTTAATTCTAAAAATTTTTTAAATTTTTTGAAATATTTTTAAAATTATAAAAAAATTTTAAAAATCTGAAATATTTCAAATTCAAAAAATTTTAAAAATTTAATAAAAATCTAAAAAATAATAAAATTATGAGAAATTTAAAAAATGAAAATTTTAATTAAAATACATTTTCTTAAAAATAAAAAAATTGGAAAAAAAAACCTAAATATTTGAAAATAAAGAAAAACTAAAATTTTTTTGAAAAAAAATCTAAATTTTTTTTAAAATTCTAAAAAAATTTACCAAATTCTAAAAATTTTTGAAAAATTAAAAAATTTCAAAAATATAAAACTAAAATAATTGAAAATTTTTAATTAAAAATCCAAATAATTCAAAAAAAATTTTAATTTCTAAAAGCTTTTGAAAAATTAAAAAATTTCAAAAATCCTAAACTAAAAAAACTTGAAATTTTTAATAAAAAATCCAAATAATTCAAAATTTTTTTAAAAAATAAAAAATATATATAAATTAAAATTGTAAGATTAAAAAAAGTAAAATTTTTACAATTTAAAAAAATATTAGATTTTTTCAAAAAATTTTAGTTATTTTTTATTTTTATTTTTTAATGTTTACGTTAATCTTCTTTTTTTTTAATTTTGAGAAATAATTTTTTTGAATTTTTTATTATTTTTTGTTAAAATTTTGATTTTTTTTGAAAATTTAAAGTTTTCGTAATTTTCTAAATTTTTAAAATATTTACAATATTTCAATTTTTTTATTTTGTTATTTTTAAAAAATATTTCATATATTTACTAATTTTTTTAATTTTTTATAATTTTTTTAATATTGACGTAATAATTGATGATACGATATTGATTAAACTTTTTGATAAGTGTTAAATTTTATTAAATATTCATGTCAAGTTAATAAATTGATAGATAACATTAGTTTTAGATATTAAAATGGATGATCAAAAAAAAGTTGAAATATTAAAGTGACATTTTTTTTAAAATACCAAATTGATAAAAAAATATAATACAAATGCTATTTTTACATTTAACTTTTTTTTTTCTAAAGGTTTGATTCGTTTAATAAGAGGAGGCTAGAATAAATAAATTGTAAGAATAAATAAGAGGAAAATAAAATAAAATAATTATTATGTTTGTCAATTTATTGAAATAAAATATAGTAAGAACTAGTATAAATATGTTTGATTAGTTTAAAAAATATTATTAAAATAAATTTAAAATATTTTTTTATTAAATTAATTATAATTTATTATAAAAATATTATTAATTACAATTAATTAATAAAATATAATTATTAATTGCACATTTCTCTTTCATTATTAATTATTAATTATTAACTAATAGTATTTAATTAATAATAATAATTAAAATACAATTAATCATAATTAATTAATAAAAAATAGAAAAAAAATTTTTTTTCTCTCTTCTCTCTTCTCTCTCCCTCTCCGTTCCTTCCCATTTCCCTTTCTCTCTAAACACCAAAAAACCAGAGCGTCTCACTACCTTCGCCGGCCGCTATTGATCGACATTGGCAACCATCGCTTGCTGCTATTGACCACCATTGACCGACGTCGATTTTTACCAAATTTCACCCACATGCTCATCTTGATCTCTTCATCACCAATATCCACTTTGTTGTTTCAAAAACAAATTAGAAAAGCTTAGATCTAGTGTCCAAGCCTACAGTTTGCACTCTAAAAAGCACCATCTCTTGTCACTCCAAACCGCCTGAAAGTAAGATATGTCTCTCCTCTCACCAAACTCCTCACCTATTAGGTTTAACCCTCCAACCACTGCTGATCTCTTCTATTCTCCCTCTCTCTCCTTCACTTCACTTCATTTTTTTTATTAAACTTTTGTTCGTGCCCTTTTGAAGTGAAATTATTCTTAAGCAATTAAAGTTAGTTATTGTAATTATTTGCAAATAATGATATTTAGTAGATATAGGGTTTAAATTTTAATATTTTTAATTATTTTATAAAAAAATATTGAATGATTATTGACAGTAATTTATTAATAAAAAAATAAAATTTTAATTTTAATGATTAAAATTTAATCATTGATAATTTTAAATATATAAAGGTTTGACGAGTCAACTGTCATATCTTGTCAATAGAACAATAGGCTTTTGTTTTGAAAATGATGCAAATGCAAGTGGACAAAACTAAAAATTATATAAGTTAATTATCTTAGGTGAGGAATAATAGGAAAGGGTTGAGGAAAGCGATTGATACATTAAAAAATGAATGTGGAAGGAAAGAAGTCAACATCATCAGAGTCACACCTCACTTAACCACCGCTTTAACTGCCATTTCCCTTATCGTATTGTGTGGCTTCAATTGTATTTGTAGCCATTGCTATCCTCTTCTTTGTCTCTTGTCCTCTCTCTTAACATTAATTAAATTAAGTCATTTTTATTCTTTTGTTGCATTTGATTAAATAATTTAAATTTATTAAATATTATTTACAGAATCATGATTTATATTTTATTTAATTCAAGTAAACTCATTTCTATAAAATAATTCAAATCAAATCTTTTTCTTTTATTGCAATTTTTTCTTCTTTATACCAAACAATCAAAACAACTTACCCCTATTTTCTTTCCCTTTTCCCCGATTCGGCTCTCTTAATTTCTGCATTTATATTAATTTGCATGAAATATAGCATAATCTTCATTTTATATTCTAGACATCCATGATTTGATGCTTTGAATTTTGATAACCATTGCTTAAGTATAGTGCGTAAGAAAATAAAGAGATGAAAAAAAATTTAAAACGTGTAATGATTCTTTGTAGGAAAATAGAAGTTTGTTTAAAGCAAAATTACATGGTCCATTACTCACCGTTTCTTAGTAGATCCACATATTATCTCAATATGAAAGCTATTCTTCAACTACTTTTTAACAACATTCTTGTAATAAGAAAAATGTCATACCGATGATTATGCGCCACAAACGCAGCAATCAGTGTCATAATAGCCTTTTTGATGAATACATTGTAGAGATCAGCTCTGGGAATTGAGGTACTGAACAGTGAGCTAATTTGGTTATAGCTTGTCCTTTCTCCTCAGCCTTGCATTTAGACTGTTCTTATTCCACCAGCTTGATACCGGTTGAACATGAAGTTAAAATCGAGGAGACAATCCCCTTACGCATCTCTTTAAATTTCAACTCTAGCTTCACATCCCAACTGGCATCTTCCCTGCATTAATGAGACAGAAAATCCCCAATAATTTTTTTCCATGTAAAGACAATCAGATTCAGCTTCAATGAATTCATAAATGCTTGCTTGAGGCTTCTTTCCTTATCAACCAACTATGTGTCACCTAAATTTTCCGTCATGTCATTGAACGTGGATTGTAGATCTTCAAGGGATTCTTATCTATCAAATTCCAAGTTTGCTTGTTTCTTGAGAAAGGGACCCCAAAAAAGACTACAATGAAATCAAATATGCTAATATTGATAAGCATTCAATTTAAAAGTTTAATTTAAATATAAAATTACAGGATATTTGATATTAATTAGATGTGAAATAATGTATTTTAACAGATTTTTATCACGTATAAGTCAAGATAAAAAAAAATTTTTACGTGATAAATTAAGAAATGACAATAAAAAAAATTTAAACTCTAATACCAAGTTAAGCATCTAACTTAAAATCAATTGACAGTAAGTAAATAGACCCAACTTGAATATAAGGCTATTGAAAATTGAGAATTTAAACAACTAATTTAAGACCAATTGACAGTAAATGGAGGGACTCAACTTGAATGTAAGGTTACAAGAAATTAAAAATTTATTAAATGTGAGATAACTCACTTTAACAAATCTCATTAAAAAATTTTTAAATGTGGGATAACCTAAAAAGATGAAAGAAGTCTTCCATGTTATAAATTAAAATCCACGTTACAAATTAAGAAAAGCCACTTCAACAGGCAACAGAAGTATCCAACTTAAAATCAATTAACAGTAAGTGGAAGGACTCAACTTGAATATAAAGTTACTGAAGTTTGAGAATTTAAACATCAAACTTAAAACTAATTGACAGTAAGTGAAGAGACCCAATATAAATATAAGGTACAAATTAAGATCTACTTTACAAATTAAGAAATGCTACTTTAACAGGCAACGGAAGTATTTAACTTAAAATTAATTGACAATAAGTAGAGAGACCTAACTTGAATATAAAGTTAATTGAGAATTTAAGCATCTAATTTAAGACGAATTGACAGTAAATGAAAAGATCTAACTTGAATATAAAGTTACAAGAAATTGAAAATTTGTTATATATGAGATAATTCACTTTAACAAGCCTCAATTAAAAATTTATTAGACGTGAGATAATCAACTTTAATAAGTTTTCATTATGTGTAGGGAAAAATGAAAGAAACTTTTCATATTACAAATTAAGAAAAGCCAAAATCCTAACTTTGATATTATGTTAAGTATTTAATTTAAAACCAATTGAAAGTGATTAGAGGGGTTTAATTTAAATATAAAATTATAAAATATTTTATATTTATTAGATATAGGATAACAATTTTAACAAATATTTTGTGATTAATTGATAAATCAAAAACATTATACGGTTACCAAAGTAGGAGATAATCGCGAGGAAAAAAAAAATCTT